TACTCAATGGGAAATGGAGAAATTTCACATTCCAATAATGGCAGACTCTTTGAAATCATCAATCGCCACTTTTCATATGACGAAGATCATTGTCTCTGATCCAACAAAATTTCTGTTCATCGGTTCAGTTCCTGAATCTATGTACAAGTGTGTTTTTGGGGAAAGCAAGCTCATTCGTGAATACAAGAAGCTTCCTCCTACGGGACCGAGGCAGCTAACCCCTGAGATGCAAAGCTCGCTGGATGCAGCTGATAAACCAGCGAAACGAAGGAAAAAGCCTGATCAACAAAAAAGTGAGAAGGAAGGGCCATCATCTAAAGCTGCTACGCCTAAAAAGCGAAAGACAGAACAAGCAGCTACTTCTGTTCATAAGAATCGAAAGATCAAGAAGATGGCACCCAAGCCAAAGGATCAGTCTTCAAGTGATTCAGAGTATGTTCCTTCTGACCAACAACCCGAATGAGAGTCAAACGAAAAGTGAACATTCTCAAGAGGAGAGTTCACTCCGAGGAGATTCGCCTCCACCTTCACCGGCTCATCATGGTAACCGAAACACACCTCCTTCCTCTCTTACTCACTCTGTTCCTATCACAATTGCTCCATTCCCTCCTCCAATCTCTTCTCAAGCTGCAACTTCTATACTAATACCAACCCCACTATTCACCGAAATCACCACCACTACCACTACTACAACTGAACCTCAAGTTCGTGTCAACGTATCACCTTCAGGGACCGAAATCCCGATTACCTCTAAACCTCTATCTCCACCTCACTCAAATGAATCTGACACCGTTCTTGGTGGGGAGAATGTAGACTTTGATTCCTTCTATTTTAGCCCCTACAGAGTTCAGAGTAATGATTCTGATGATGCTCCTATAACGAAACAACATTTAGAGGATCTTAACGAGAAACTTGACAGGCTGATTGCCTCTGCATCTTCCTCTTCTACTACTGAATACTCAAAAGCAGTGGTCAAGGCCCAGTTCTCTACTCTGGTCAAAGAGCATCAGGACTCAATTGATAAAGCTACTAAAGCTGTGGATGCTTCTACCTCTTCTTGTCAGAAAGCAACCGAAAATGTCACACAAATAATTTCAGATGCTCAAGTGTTTTTGGACTCTCTCTAGGCAGCTACTCAAAAGAATGCCAATATGGTGAATGCTACGATTAAGGATCTCACCACTACGCTTCAGGAGGAGCATAAGCATTTTGAAATCATTAGAACGAGGATTCAAACTGATAATGCAGCGTTCGTATCTTCAGTCAAGGCTCGTCTTGATCAACTCCAAACTGAGTTAGCTGTTGAAAACAAGATCATTGATGAACTGGCTCGTCGCACTACTCAACTCAAAACTCAGTCCTTGAAGCTCAATCAGGAAACAAAGGAAATTGATGATCTCAAGTCTGAGAGAGCAGTCATCAAAAGCTGTGTTAGTGATGTGCATTCTCTTTTGTCCAATCTCCTAGAGGCACATGATTCGGTTCTTACTCTCACCGTCCGACGACACTTAGCTGAGAAGCTAAGACCTGCTCTTGACATGTTAAGCTGTATAGAAGGTGTTCCGGAGCCTGTTGTCCCTCAGAAACAAGGGGGAGAAGCAAGAATCAACCCCCACAACCTTCAACAAGCAAATCTGTTCAAATCTCTGCACAACCGAAAGTCACCACTGAACCGAAGGATAATGAAGCTTCGGGTTCTAGTGTGAAGGACAAAAATAAAAATATAGTTGGTGATAGTGATGAGGAAGAAACTGAAGAAGATGCTCTCAAAAGAAAGCAACGTGATCGAGAGCTTGACGAAAATCTTCGCATCGCAAGAGAAGAAGAAGAGAGAGAAAGAAAACGAAAAGAAGCTCATGACACATTGGAGAGTAGAAAAACTCTATTTCCTTTGTGGACATTGGAGAAACTCTTAAAAGAAGCAATCGAGTCTCCTAGCACTCACTGGCTTGAACCGGTCATCTCGTTTGATCGTGAAAATTCGAAAGACTCTGAATTCGACATGCCTATTACCCGAAAGGCATTTGTGTTTCATTGCTTTGAACCAATCGCCATTGTTCCTTCTCCTGACCCGAAGGTTGGCCGAGAATTAATTGACTACTATCTCGCATTCTCTCAACCACAATACTTGACCTGGAGCGCACAAAAGATCACAACAGTCAAAGTATTGAAACCAACTTCAGCGGGGAATTTTATTAATGTGAAGTTCAAAGTGACCCGAGGCTCTGATAACCTGGTTCATATGATCTCCCTTGCTGATCTGCCGAACTTAAATCCACATGACTGGATCCTCCTGAACAACATTTTGCTAACTGATCAACAGCAGTACGAGCCTACCATCGATCACATCAAGCGAATGTTAGTTTCTTACATTCATGAGGTTGCTAAGATGGATCAAGAAATTGCCTCTGCTTTAAGGAAGAAGCCTACAATCAGACCAATTGGGAAGGCAAGCGATGTTAACAAGATGCAGATGGGTAGGATTAACCCGAAGTATCACACAGTCATGTTCACCAGAGCCGAAGGCCAAAAGTGCTTGTTCGCTCTTGATGATAAACACTTGTTCTCCACTTCTTGTCTGGAGCACATTCTTGATATCATTCACAGGTGTAAGCAAAACAGTGATACTGATAAGACAATTTTTTCAGATATGCTTTGGTGGTACATTGACTTTCGTCAAACTCTTCTTGCCATCATACCGAAGCTATTCAAGACTATGAAGAAATCTACTCTCACTCAACCGAAATGATCTCTCGCCTCAATTGATGCAAATGGGGAGATTGTTGGGTCTAAGAGTTGCGTCATTGGGCCTGTTACCTCGGTCCATAGTTATCACGGTACTGGGCCTGTCCAGCCGTGTTTATGTCATTAGGGTTTAGTATATAAGATGCATGCATGCATCGTTCTCTGCATGCTTTTGATAATCATTATTCCTTCATTTGTACTGTAACCCTAGCACACCTCTACAGTCGAAGTTCTTTATTGAGCTCTTCTGAAGTGGAGCATATTAATCATTCAACTCTTGTTTGATTCATCGTGTGTTCTTTGCTTTTATTGTGTTTGTCTAAATCTGTTAAGAATCTAAACGATCTTAGAGAATTTATTTATCATCAGTGTTATATGCTTGTGTGTCTGTTTGCTATATGTATGTGAGGTGAAATAGACCAAGGGTGAAATAGACCCGGTACAGCCTTATGCTGACATATGAGTTGAAATAGACTCGGGAGTGAAATAGACCTCGGGGGTGAAATAGACCCAGTACGGCTTGGGATAGACTCGGGAGTGAAATAGACCCGACACAGCCTTGAGCGGGCAAATATGTATGGTATGCGGTATTTTTGGGAATTCACTAAGCTCCGTGCTTACGGTTTTCAGTTAATGTTTCAGGTACTTCCGGATGAAAGGGGTAGAGCTCAGCCTTGATCGCATTGCATCACACCCTTCTTTGAATATGTTTATGTTAGAAAGTTAAAATAATTTTTTTTTAAATTTTTTTTTGTTTTCATTTAAAAGATCTCGGTTCAACAAACTTACCAGAAATCAGTCTTTTAATGATTAACATTGTATGGTTCAATTTCTACCCAACAACACCTAACTTAGTATGCTTGATTCCCGTCACTTGTGTTTAATTTTCATTTGGTTTTAAGAAGCAGACATGTCATGCAATTTCGACTAAAAGTGTCCGGTCAGTTGCCACGTCATCCGAAAGTGTACAGTGAACAAGTTAAGGTCACATCTTGAGCATTAATGTAATAGACTTGACAATTCTCGACACGAGACAAGATAAATGAGTTTGGGTTGAGTTTTTCAACTCGCTAACCCGCCAACCCGTTTAGAATTTTAATAAAAAAAATTATATATTTTTTAAATGTATTAAGTATTATTCGTAGGAATGTAGGAAACTAGGATAAGATACCATTGTCTTCATAAGGTTATTGACCATTTGATCCGTGACCTTGACGTTTGATGTGTTATTTTTATTGGCATTTATACATTTTTACTTATGTGTGTTTTAACCTTGCATATTCTTTCTACCTGAAGGTTGAAGTTCATCATAAAGAAGAAAAGGGTGGTGGAGAATTGACTTCGTTTTTTGAGAGAAAAAATGGAAATTCTGGCTATTACATTAACACTTGAATTTATCTATATTTGTATTAATGTTTTAGTTTGAACATGTTTCCATGAATGTTTTTAATTTTCATTTGCATCTAGAATTTATTCATATTTAATTATCTATTTTATTTATGAAATCTGACCCACAAACCCACGGACCCAAATCTGACCTACGAACCCACCAACTTGTACACCCGTATAAATAAATCGGTTGACGAGTCGTATATGAGTTTATGTTCCAAACTAGCCAACTCATGACCTGTATAGTTAAATGGTTCATGTTTAGGTTGATGTATTTTGACCCGTCAACCTGTCAACCCAAACATGACACACGATTGTCAGACCTAAATATAACAACAAAAACTGAAACTTAACGACTTTTCAGCAATTTCTGTTTCTTTATAAGAACATTTTCTGGTAACTTAAAAAATTAGATAACACTAGGAGTTTTCCTTCATTAAATTACAAAAGTAAACGTTAAAATTAGATAACACTAGGAGTTTTCCTTCATTAAATTACAAAAGTAAACGTTAATAACTAAATAAAACAACACATTTCCTTGAATATTACAAAATAGTATCCTTAAACCCCAAATCGTCCATGCCGAATCTTCTATCCAACCCACACAAAATACACATAAGTACAACAATAGCAACAAAACGTACAACAAACCAAGCACAAAACTAAAACTTCGGATATCCCTTTGCCACCAATTCCGCCGACAGCTAGATTTCTCACTCCGATGGCAACAAGAGCATCAAGACAACAATAACAATAAAAAAAAAAAGAAAACACATCATAAATTGACGTTGTACCCGATTCCCCAACCATTTTCAATATAAACAAAACCTAAAACCCCATTGAAAGTTGTTCATTTACTCATAAACAGATAAACTCCTACTTCGATTTCTAGAAAATCTGTCATCGTTAATGGATTTTCGGAAGCTAATCGTGTTTATTTGGTTAATTGGTTCCATTATCAAAACGGTGTCGTCTCAATCCGCTTCAACTCACTGCCCTCTCGAATTCAAAAACCTAACAACCTCACAAACTTGCGAAGAAGGAACGTGGGATGATTTTTTACGAGATAAATGCTGCAAATCGCCATTTAACTCCTACCTCGATGCACTCGCTATACGTGCAAATGAAACAGGAAAAATCTACCTAAATTCAACTGAACAGACGAGTTGCTTGAAGAAGATGAAGGAAAACGTAACGACAGATGTGTTTACCTGTGGAATCGATAAGCTTACTGCCGGAATCAATGGCTGTGCGGCGTTTTCCGTTGACGATGTGTCTAATCGGCTTCGTGATGAGGTTTTGGGTTTATCGAAAGGTTGTGGGTCGATTTTTGGTGTTGGGGGTTATTGGAATCAGTCGTGTGGAGAGTGTGTGAAGAGTTGGGAAGACATTAAAGGGGTGATTTCGGGAGATAGTGACGATGATTTGTGCAGGTTTGCGGTGTTGACTACGTTGACCGGGAGTCGGATTGATGACTTGATTTGGAAGGAAAACGTCTACAAATGCCTTGGGGGACAAGTTATTAGTAATGGTAAGATATAAAGAAAATGAAGATAAATAATTAAAAAATTGATTCATTAATATATATATATATATATATATATATATAATATATTATATATATATATATATATATATATATATATATCTATATATATATAATATATATACTAAATATATTTTTCAGAAATTTATATTATAGTTTTAAAAATATCATATATTTTTATAAATGAATAAATATTTTAAGTTGAAGAATTAATTCTTATAAAATAAATGTATTTTTTATTGATTTGTTTAATTTATTACTTTTTGATTATAACAATATCATGTAACTATTAAGAAAAATTCAGCTTTAATAATAAGAATTTTTTTTAAGCATAATAACATAACTAAGTAGATTTTTGAAGTACAATTAAACTCAATTGATAAGAAAAAGAGGTGAAAAAAATTATACGTATAATATTGTAATAAAAAATTGAAAATGAAACATTATCATATAAAAATTAATGAAAGTGTATTATAGTATTACTTGTGTCGAGTTAAAATTGGAGAAATAAACAAATGCATATAGAAGAAAAAAAAAACAAATGCATATAGAAAAAGCACATTTTTATTTTTTTATTTATTACAACATTAAATTTTGAAAAATTATATGTTTATAATAATGTCATCTAAATTTAAATTAATTTTCTTGTTATAGCTAGTGTGAATTTTCAAAGTACAACAAAATCGAAACTACAATATTGTAACTAGTAACAAGAATTAAAAGTACACATGCTATTTCTGGCATTAAGCCTTATAAAAAAATTAATATATAATGCTGCAATGTGTTTATTTGGAGATGTTTAGCCTTTTCATCCTTCTTTGTAGATATTAACCAAAACAAAGGAAGAAAGAAGAACTCAACAGGTAGGACCCACGATTGCATTTCATTTTAATATCCACTATATCATAATGTTAAAAAAATTGGTCGCTTAACTTTTGGTTTTGTGTCAATTAACTATTTTTAAATTTTAAAAAGTAATCAAACTTTTGACTTTGTACTCATTTAGTCATTTAACTTTTGGTTTGGTCACATTTAGTCATTTAACTTTTAGATTTGTGCTTATTTAGTCACCTAACTTTTAAAATTGTGCTCATTTAGTCACTAAACTTTTAAATTTTTTTTAAAAGTTTAATGATTAAATGAGCACAATTTTAAAAGTTAGGTGACTAAATGTGACCAAATTAAAAGTTAAGTGACTAAATGAGCACAAAACCAAAAGTTTGATGACTTTTTAAAACTTAAAAAGAGTTAAATGACCAAATGAGTACAAAATCAAAAGTTAAGTAACCAAAAATGACCTAAACCAAAGGTTAATTTTTGTTCAAACAGATTCTACAATAATCGGATTGTTGTCGGGGATTTCAGCTTTAGTGGTTATTTGTGTATATATTATGGCAAGAAGATGGCATTCAATACATGCAGGAGCAAAAGACGATGGTTTGTTTGTCTATTCTCCAAATTTAACTTGGAATAAATTACAAGTTTGCTCCCTATGGTTTGAATTTTTTTCGTTTACGTCTAAAAAAGAATATTTTTGCAATCTTGGTCCTTGGTCCATGGTCTTCGGTCTAATTTTTTAACAAAAAAATGTAGATGAGTTTATTTTGGGTTATTCAGGGGAAATGTAATCTTGAAACGAAGACCAAAACGAAATTTTTTTTTTTTTTATACCTAAACCAAAAAATGAAAACCATAGGACCATTATTGGAAAACAAAAAATTTGGACCTAAACGGCTAAACCAAAATAAATGAGAATACAAGGACCAAATTTGTAATTATGTCTAAATTTTGGTTATTTAGTTATACGGTAAAACTCATATGTAATTTTATATGTTTAATTTAATAGGCATGAAGCGTGATTTACCAAAAAAGTCTCGATATCTTAAAGTTCCGATTAAGGAGATTCTTTATGCTACAAACAACTTGGACCAATCAAATTATATTGGTGAAGGAACAGCAGGTGGGCTTTAATCTAATGTATAACTTGCTTAGACCCGTTTATTACGCAACAGTATGAAAAAACAAACAATATGTCACACATCCATCGGATTCTGACCAATGTCAAAAGAAAATTTTCAAAATTTTGTTTTATCTATTATCATCAAGAATAGCTTTCGAAAGCTTCTACAATCCCATTCTTTTGTAACAAACCGCGTTTGGTATGCATATTGAGATCGAGACTAAAGTTAACGAGAAAAAATACGGTAGAAGGACTCGTTCTAAATATCTTATATGTGAAATGCCGTTAATGTCCTTTTCATCATTATACATACACGATAGTCGTATAAAGATTGTCTAATCTCGTTCTAATCATTTTTAGGAGCATATTTATTTGATGTAATATTACAGGCAAGGTATATAGGGGTATACTGTCAAATAAACAACATGTTGCAGTCAAGCATATCATCGATGATGGATTTATGGAAACTTTTCTAAGAGAAGTTAGAAATCTTGCACTTGTTAGACATCCGAATCTTGTGGCGTTGCTAGGGTATTGTGACAACGAAGATGAATGCTTCCTTATTTACGAACTATGTACAAATGGGAATCTCTCCGAGTGGCTTTTTGGTAAATTGTGTAGTTTTTATTACACACCTTCTTTCCCTTTTTGTGTTAAACCTTAATTTTAAAATATGTCCAGGAAAAAACAAAGTACTTTCATGGATTCAAAGACTTGAAATTGCTATAGATTGTGCTCGAGGACTTTGGTTTCTCCACACATATTCAGAAGGTTGCATTGTTCATCGTGACATTAAGGTATGTACTATGTAGTATGTAACACGCTATGCCCAAAGTTATAGTCTAGCCCAATAATATCAGAGTCAAACTTAAAATCTTGTTCATAGCTCACAAATTAACAAGGTTTTGAAAACCGAACCGGTCGTCTTACCGGTTCGATGGTTCAAGTGGTCCAACCGGTCGGACCGGTCTCAAAAACCGGAAAAACCCGGATGATATCATAATTATATTTAGTTATATAAAAAAAACAAAAAATGAGAAAAATAAATATTTTTTAAAATTTCCGGTTTTAACCGGTTTTACCGGTTCAACCGGACCGGTTTTTACCGGTTTTCACCGATTCACATGAATACTGGTTTTTTGGCATTTAAGAACCGGATCCGGGACCGGTTCCCGGTTGAACCGGTCAAACCCGGCGGTCCGGTCCGGTTTTCAAAACATGACAAATTAAGGCTTATAAGGGGCTCATAATTTTCACTTCCTATAAACTTGCAGCCGACAAATATACTCCTAGGCCCAAACTATGAGGCCAAGCTTTCTGATTTTGGGTTGTCCAAGGTTATTGCCATTGGGAAAACATATGCGAGTTCAGAGGTCAGAGGAACATTCGGTTATGTTGATCCAGAGTACCAAACTGACTCTCAAGTAAATTCAGCGGGTGATGTCTATAGTTTTGGAATCGTGCTTTTACAAATTCTTTCAGGAAGAAGAGTTATAAACATGAACGCAAGTAAACCAATGCCATTGGAGAAGATGGTAAACATCTTACTACTGACATTTTTTTTGTTGCTTTTTTAGTCCCCACATACTTGTCTTAGGATAAGGAGGTAAGGATCCATAAATGGTATGGGATGTAAACATGTGACTCACCATTCTTAGGAAAATTGTCATAAAAGTCATAATATTTTCAGAAAAGTTATATTTTATTCCCAAGATTTTTTTTAACATAAAAGTGCCGATTATTTGTAAAAACACGATAATATGTCATTTCCTGTTAAAAGAAAAAACGAAGTTTTTTGTAAATTTGAGCCAAAATGAAATAATCGGGACTTTCATATTCAAAAAAAAAAAAAAAAAAAAAAAATCTTGAGACTAAAGTGTAAGTTTTTCGAAAATATTGAGACTTTTCTAACAATTTCTCCAATTCTTATTATCTAGACATTGTGATTTAACTTCTCCGTGGGACCGGTTAGTGGGGACACCTAGGGGTGGAAATGGAAATAAGTATTTGATGTCCCCACTTACCGATCCCACAACCAACATAATGAAGGTAAACCATAAGGTCTACAAAAAAAGTGACGCCTAACGCCTAACGTTAGTGGGGACACCTAGGGTGGAATTGGAAATAAGTATTTGATGTCCCCACTTACCGATCCCACAACCAATATAGGGAAGGTAAACCATAAGGTCTACAAAAAAAGTGACGCCTAACGTTTATCATTTGTACCTTATTTATGAGTGAAGCATATAAAATCTAAAGTTAAAGCAATGGTATAGGCAAAGTCACTTACAAAAGGTGGAAGCATAGTAGGATTTGCTGACCCAAAGCTTGACGGGAAATACTCTGCAGAGGCATTTGAACTTACGTTTCAGCTAGCTTTGTCATGTACAGGACACAAAAAAGAACGACCATCCATGGGACAAGTGGTTGAGAGATTGGAGGAGACACATGAGATATCAATTAGTGTCGTGGATTTAAACCTTCATAAGACGTAACACTAGAAATTTATCATCAATCCCTTAACATTCAATTCAACGTTTTAATGGTATTTACTATTTAGTATTTACATACAAGATACATAAAACATAATGTGAATTTAATGTACTTGTGGCTTATTACATATGGCCAACAATTAATTTTGGCAACACCAAACGGTTCCTTCAACAATTAAAAGAACAAAATAGATTAGCTCTTATAAGTTATAATCAACAATTTCACATCCAATTTCAAGGTAATAGCAACAACGATAATGTAAAAAAATAATAATTATCCATGACCTAAATGTATTTTGCGATTATAAAGTTTATTTATATTCTCATATGGATGCTATTTGAATTTACAAATCTAATATAAGTGTAGAAGAGAGAAAAATGTTCTACCATTAGCTAACAATTGCTAATACACACTAAGATCTAGTTATTTGGAAGAAGGAATTTATTGTAAAATGGATATAGAATTTTAGAGTTTAAGATGGTTTAGTATTTCATCTCTATATCTATACCATCAACTAAGAATCTTGTGGTGCTTAAATCATTATAAAAAAATGCATGGGATGAGAGGACTACACATTCCAAACTTGCATAACACAAAATTGAAGAACAACATGTACAATCATATTTAGTTAAATAGAAAATATATGATATACCATAACATCTCGTTGTTTACCCAATCAGGAGAGATGACCATCATCCCACCTCACTGGAAACAGTGGTGCAGATTGAATGTCGGTGTTGTCACCATGCGATTTATCTTCCTATATGAAGAGGTTATTCATTATCCGAGACTGAAAAAGAGAAAGGCCACACTTCCCCACTATGGTGCTTGTGATTTTAACTAAAAAGAAGAAATTTTCTAAGAGAGGTTTACTTTCCAAAGTATAGTGGAATAGGCATGACATCTTATTTATTCTATTGGATGCTAATATACGTAGGTAGATACATATGTGTGAACATGAGTTTGAAGATTTGATTTATCCAGAAGAAAGTTCATAATACATTGTATTTTAAAATTTCAATCAATTGTAGCATTATAGTTAATATTGGAAATTTAATTTTCATTAGTTTTTGCGGAGCCGAAATAACATCTAATTTTTCCCTATTAAGACATTGTATTTATATTATTTTTTTCTATTGAAATTGTGCATAAAGACATATACAACACATACATATACAAACAAAAAAATGCATACATAATCATACAAATACATAAGCAGACATACATGAACATACACAATCATGTAAATACACATAGATATACGAAAAAATTAGTACACATATGTAGACATATCAATAGATTGAAACCAATATACAAAACAATATGATATGCACATTATGTACTCCAACCAATATAGAGGTCTAAGTATTACCTTAACCAAACAATTAGATCTAAGAAAACAACCCACTTTATTTTTTGACATATACCTAAACATTTTCAATCCAATCTTGAGGAACCATTATCTCATCCAAAGTGATCAAAGGCGCTTCCATTGGATGATGGAAATACACCAAATATTCACTTATTCTCTTGACAATCCTCCCCACCTACCAACCATCCATGTGACAAGCATCAACAATTTCCTAATCTGAAAAGCCATTCACCATAATTTGAGGACAAACCGAGAAAATTTGCATGGTTTTGACAATATATTTTTGTAACATCCTGTTTCGAGAAGTTTCATATTTCGGGATTGTGGATAGTAAATGGATCAAGTAAAAGCCTTGGACTTCAAGGGAATAGGATTTAGACCCTATTGGATGTTGATAATATTGGTTATGCAATCTGAACCCTTGGTTTGTGTTTTGGAGTCAAAGGGTAAAACAGGAAAAGTGATGTTTCAGACTTCTTTCTTGGATTAAGGATTTTAGTTTGGTATGTTTTAAGTTAAAAGTAATTATATAGGATTGTTGTAACACCCATAAAATTCAAGCCAATTTAAAACTTTTTAAACAATCCAAAAACCATTAGTTATTACAAAACTTGTTTTCAAAAGGTATAATATCAGAGTATCCTAGAAACATAAATGTAAATATGAGGAGTTGTACGATCACGAATTCGCCTTGCCGCGATCCCCTGATGTACCTGAAACAATAAACTGAAACTGTAAGCCTGAGGCTTAGTGAGTTCCCCAAAATACCGATACACTGCACATAATACATATACAAATAACAGCATGTATTGGGTCCACAGCTTTACAGACTGGAATACCCCTGGGCCCACAGTGTGAGTCTGGATTGCCTACCGGGCCCACAGCTCACATCTGGATTGCCACCGAGCCCACAGTACGAGTCTGGTTTGCCTACCGGGCCTACAGCTCGTATCTGGAATGCTACTAGGGTTTGTTGGTCACCGCACAAAGCGGTACATCCTCAACCCATCCCACATAACATATCAACATATAACATAACTACTGGGCATGTAGATAATCATATAACGACACAGGTAGTCATACAGATTTACCTAACTGGCATAACCACTAGCATGCAACACTAACTCATACTCAACTTCTAACACTGCTAGGATAACATATCCAATGGGCTGGCCTTGGTGCCTTAGACCCCTTAGTATAGTGAGGTAACTCACCTCGCACTGTCGACTCGAAGATAAACTCAAGCTCTTGGATTGCCGGTACAACTCCACCACCTGAATGCACCGTAGAACCATGCTTGTAAATTTTAAATTCCCAAAAATACCCCAGAAGTCCAATAGTCAACCCTTGGTCATAGTCAAAGTCAACTGTCAAGGTCAACAGTCCATGTTGACCTCAACTCGTCGAGTACCACCAACCACTCGCCGAGTTCCTTGCATAACTCGCTAACTCGCCGAGTCACTTGAGCGACTCGTCGAGTTCCTAACGTCAGTGGCCGCAAACTCCTTGGCCAACTCGTCGAGTTTCCCCTTTACAACTCGTCGGGTTCATACGTGTCCAAAGGTTGGGAAAACCCTAACCGACTCGCCGAGTCATTCCACTTACTCGCCGGGTCTACGACAATCTTCAACGGACTCGTCGAGTTGTTCATCCAACTCGTCGAGTACAGGACCATCTTCATGTGGCTCACCGAGTTGACTATGCAACTCGCCAAGTCCCTTCAGACCTTTATTCATACAGGTACTTTTTAAGCCATGCAACGGATCCTTATTGCAGATCCAAGCTTCTAAGGCATGTTTATCACGTAAAGTTGCAAACTTTACGTGCATGCAAGGCCCTAGAGACTCTAAATGACCAATCTAAGCTTCTAATGGAGCTTTACACCTTACGAGATTCTCATTCTTGCAAAAGGTGGGAAACTTTATGGACTTAGAGACCCAAAAGAGTCCAGATCTGAGGTTGCAACCTCAGATCTGAGCTCAAACACAAGAAAGGCTTCCTAATAAGCTAGAAAAGCCCTAAAATCCACCCAAAAGAGATCTAGAATGAAATGGGGTTAAGATAACAGCTTAATACCTTCTCAAAAGATGCCAACTGAAGTAGATCTTGATTCCCACGAGTTCCTTGCTTCAATCCACTTGTTTTCCCCAAGCTCTTCTCCTCAAGAATCCTCTTCCAAAGCTTAAAACACACAATGGAGCACACACACACGTATTAGGGTTTTGTTGAGCTCTCAAGGGACTGTAAAGAGGCTGAAGGAGGCTTATGATTCTTTAAATAGGGTGCAAAACCCCGGAAATTAGGGTTTCACCCTCCACCTCCAACTCGTCAAGTCACTCTTCCAACACGGCGAGTTGGTCACTTAAACACATGCCCCAAACCCGCTACTACTCGACGAGTCAGGGCATCCAACTCGTCGAGTAGACCTTGAAACTTGAAAATTAAAGCCATAACATTAATACCTGAGAATCGGAGCGTTACAATTCTCCCCCACTTGAACTAGACTTCGTCCTCGAAGTCCGTTGCGATGAACAACTCCGGATAGTGCTCCCGCATCTCTGCCTCTGGATCCCCACGTCCACTCGGACCCCCTACGATACTCCCATTGCACCTTCACCAACGGTATCTCCTTGTTCCTCAGAATCTTCATCTTTCTCTCCAGTATGGCCACAGGCCTCTCCACGTAATTCAGGCGCTCATCGACCTGAATATCATCCAGCGACACCACCGCCTCCTGATCCATAATGCACTTTCGCAACTGCGAAACGTGGAAAGTGTTGTGGATCCGACTAAGCTCCTCCGGTAGCTCTAGCCTATAAGACACCTTGCCAACCCTGGAAATGATCCTGAACGGCCCAATGTAACGGGGACCCAATTTCCCCCTCTTCCTGAAGCGAATCACACCCTTCCAGGGTGAGACCTTCAGGAGAACCATATCACCCACCTGAAATTCTAGCTCAGATCAGCGTCTGTCGGCGTAACTCTTCTGCCGACTCTGAGCGGTCTGTAGTCGCTGCCTAATCTGCTGAATCTTCTCAGTAGTATGCAAGACTACCTCCGTCTTACCCATCACCCTATGTCCGACCTCACCCCAACAAACTGGGGTGCGACATCTCCGTCCACACAACAGCTCGAAAGGCGGGGCGCCAATGCTGGAATGATAGTTGTTGTTGTAGGCGAACTCCGCAAGTGGTAGGTGGGAATCCCAGCTCCCACCAAAGTCAATAAAACAAGCCCTCAACATGTCATCGAGGGTCTGAATGGTCCGCTCGCTCTGACCGTCAGTTTGTGGATGGAAAGCTGTGCTGAAGTGCAACCGCGTGCCCAGCTCCTCGTGGAACTTCTGCCAGAAACGGGAGGTAAACCTAACATCCCCGGTCGGAGACGATGGAGACCGGAACCCCATGGCGAGCCACGATCTCGCGGACGTACGCGTCAGCCAACTTCTCGGCCGATGAACTCTCCCATATGGCTAAGAAATGGGCACTCTTGGTCAATCGATCCACGATGACCCATATAGCATCCAACCCCTTCGCTATTCTCGGCAACTTGGTAATAAAATCCGTCGTGATCTGTTCCCATTTCCACATGGGGATCTCCAGGGGCTGCAGCTTGCCATGCGGCCTCTGA